CGCACCGGAGCTCTCGCTTTTTCCTCTTGGCCTGTGAGCCGTGCCTCTAATGGTTTGAGGCTGGGACGAAAGCTGGCCCGGAGCCCGGAGCCCAGAGCCCAGAGCCCTGTCTTTCGAGCCACGGAAGCTCTCTTGTGTCTCGGCTGACGCTTATTCCCCCTGTTGAGTTTTTAAAAATGTCAGTGGCTACAGTTTTAGTTCTGAGATTTCTAACTGCTTCTTCATAGCCACCTGCTTTTTAAAAATTCCATCTGTTTTCATTCAATAATGCTGTGTTTTAAAAATGGATGCTTTTTCTTCATTTCTGTCTTTAAAAAGATGTTTACTTTTATTTTAGAGAGAGAAAGAGACAAAGCATGAGCGGGGGAGGGGCAGAGAGAGAGGGAGACACAGAATCGGCAGCAGGCTCCAGGCTCCGAGCTGTCAGCACAGAGACCAACACGGGCCCCAAACCCATGAACCGTGAGATCATGACCTAGGCCGAATCAAACACTCAACTGGCTGAGCCACCCAGGCACCCCGATATACATATGTAATCTAAATATATAATACATATATAATCTGAATATGGACACATATAATCTTGACATACATACTCACATATATGGGAGCCCTGGGGGCTCAGTGAGAGACACAGAGTGTGAGCAGGGGAGGAGCAGAGAGAGAGGGAGACACAGAATCTGAAGCAGGCTCCAGGCTCCGAGCCGTCAGCACAGAGCCCAACGCGGGGCTCGAACTCACGAACCATGAGATCATGCATGACCTGAGCTGAAGTCGGATGCTTAACTGACTGAGCCACCCAGGTGTGCCTATATCTTTTTTTAACGTTTGTTTGTTTGTTTATTTATTTATTTATTTATTTTTGAGAGAGAAAGAGAGAGAGAGAGAGAGACAGAGAGAGAGAGGGAGAATCCCAAGCAGGTTCCATGCTGTCAGGGCAGAGCCGGACTCGGGGCTGGAACTCACAGACGGTGAGACCATGGCCTGAGCCTAAACCGAGAGTGGGGCCTTAACAGAGTGAGCCCCCCAGGAGACCCCAACATTATGGTCTCTGTCAGATCTACCCTACGATGAACTCACCTGAGGGAACCCGTGTTGGCTGCCCCCCCCCCCCCCCCACCCCAGCTGTCTTCCTGAGGTTAGGTTTCTCCACTTCCCGGGGAACTTTGAGGGAAAGGTTACTGGAAATGGAATTTTTCCTTTCCTGACCGAGCCCTGGCGGCTGTGGTTCCGGGGCCGTGGCAGCCCCTTCCCGAAGATTTGGCCGGGCCCAGGCATTGTGCACCATAGCTGTTTCAGTTCCGTGGCCTCACAGCCACTCCGTGCGCGTGTGTCCTCGATTGCTGAACTAAGGACGTTTGTCACTCATGCCCCGGGACCCAGAGAGGTTTTTTGTGGCTAACCCAACCCGGGGCAAAGGTCTTCCGCCCCCAAGGGCCTCGGCAGCAGGTCTGGAGCCCATCGGTGCCTCCCGTCCCCATGAGATCTCATTCCCTCTGTTGTCTCTCAAAGGTGGAAATTTCTGGAAGGAGGGATTTCCTGACCTGTCCCTGTCCACTTGCGTCTCTCCTTGGTGGATCGTTAGTCTTCTCAGCTCATCGCATTTGTTCTCGAGAAGCGATTCCATAGTGCCAGGTTGTAGTTTAAAATGAGTATGTATTTGGTGTCAGCCAAGAGAGTGACCAAGGTGTCCTTTGTTGTGTTAACGAGGTGACCTTTGGAAAGCCCTAAGGGTGGGGGCAGCTGGCCAGGGAAACAATCATGGGATTACAGGTTGAAATTTTTCCTCCCACCCCCTGACCTCCATGGGGGGGGGGGGGCCGGAGGTTGGGTTCAACCACCAGTGGCCGAGGGTTTCGTCAATCACGCAGGTGTAAAGGAGCCACCACCGCCACCCCCGTGGATGGTTTGGAGGGCTTCTGGGTCGGTGGACACGCGGGGATTTGGGGGGAGTGACGCACGTGGAGAGGGCGTGGAAGGTCGCCACCCCGTCCCCACACCTGCCCTGTGCCCACCTCTCCCATCTGGCCGTTCCTGAGTCCCGTTCTTTCACGATGAACCGCAGCTCCTCTGAGTTCCGTGAGCCGCTCGAGCAAATTAATTGAACCCAAGAAGGTCTTGGGCACTTCTGATCTATAGCCGGTGGGGTCAGGAGCACAGGTGACAGTCTGGACCGGAGACTGGCATCTGAAGTGGGGGACGGCCTTCCGGGACCGAGCTCCTGACCTGTGGGGTCTGAGTCTATCTCCAGGGACATGGTGTCAGAACTGAGTTGACTAGACAGACACCCCCACCCGGCTGGTGTCTGGGAACATCCCCCCATTGGAATGGCGGGCTGAACCTAAATACATGCCATCCTGTGAAGGCAGCCACGTGGCAGGTTACAGGGATTCTGAAAATCACTCCCTTTCCTTCTAATATCCTCATCCACTGACAACATTCTACCATTACACATTCATTCCTGTGACTTGCACATTACATATCTGAGGTCACTCTTCAAATGCCTGTAAGCTCTGAAAGATTGCTCTTTGCGGTGTGAGTGCCCGTCTCGCACACATGGGTCCTGTGACCGCTGCGCTGTGGTCAGGAGCCCAGCCACGGTGCCGGAGAGCACCAGGCTCGCCGATTCGGTGGCCACCGCCACGCAAGGCTCCTCTGAACCGAGACGTGCTGTATGCATAAAACGCACCCCAGATTCTGAAGACATATGTGAAAAGAGACCGTTGCCGTGGCTCTCGCTGTGTCTCTGTTGGGGGTGCTGGTCTAGGGCGTGAAGCCCTGTGAAGACACACGGCTGGAACAGGTGTGGAGACACCCCCGGACACAAGGTGTCGCCGAGTCAGGGGCTCCCGGGAAAACTTGGCACCCGAGTGCGGGTTTGTCAGGAACAGAGCGGCCGGTCAGGCACGCCGGGCCATCTCCCTCTTCCTGTCGCTGACGCCCGTCTACATCAGCTGCGTGAACACTGCACGTGGTTAAACCCTCTGATTTTGCCCTTCTCGTTCATGGCACACTGGCCACGAGGTGCGGGACTCTCTCCCGTTTCCAAGGGAAGGGAGAAGCCCCTTCTGTCCCGGAGAGGCCGTGCTCATTAGGGACCCAGGAGAGCATTTCCCGCAGGGAATTAATCCCGGGGCCTCCGGTCCTGTTATGATTTACTCGCTGGATAGTTGAAAGGCCTGGACTGAAAGGCGCGCTCGAACCTTTGCCCCCTGGGAACAAAGGCGAGAGATTAGCTCGGTGTTATCAATCAGCATCGTCAGGGAGGGAACAGAAAGGCTTCACCTGTGGAAGCCTTCGTTAGCGCCTCCAAGGCAATCAAAGGTCACTCTTGCCCAAGGTTTTGTCTCAAGTCCCCAGATGGTAGCGCTGAATTACCTTTAAAAACGGCCTCAAAGGACCGGAGATGAAGTGTGGATTAGCGTCTTAATCTAGCAGCAGAGGCCTGCGGTTGGGGTCTGGGGACGGTGGGTAGCATTGTGTTGGGCTGCCCCTGGCATGCGGCTGGGGGCTGAGGGTGGGCTTTGTGCCTCTGGACCCGGGTCCTTTGACGGCCTTGGGGGCGTTCTCCCAGGGCTTTGCCAGCTGATTTAGCTGGACAATGGGGTTTGTCAAGAGGGAAATAAGTGAAAACTCGGGCTCAGCCTGGGTGGGCACCCGGCTCTGGCATCCCCGTGGGAGCGAGGGGGGTTGAGCACAAAGACCCTCAAAGCCTAGATGCCTTCTGGTGTCCCCACTGGCCTCCCGCGTCCACAGCCACCCCGCTGTCTGCTTAGCCGGGTGGTGGGAAGGAAGGGAAGCCCACTGCGGGGACTCGAGCTGGTTTCCCAAGCCCACGCGACCTGGGGCAGATCGCTCTGCCCGCGGGGCCTCGACCCCCTTCTCTGTGCAGTGGGGCCTCCGGGGCTGCTCCCGAGGCCGCTGAGGGTGGCCGGCTTGCCGTCGGAGAGGCAGCGTTCCAGGTGGGATGGGTCTGAGGGACCAGGGGTGGCTGCGTCCAGCACTCTCTCCGAAGCAGCCCGCCTCACCCCGCGTCCTGCCCGCACCGTCTGCGGAGCCCTCTGCAGGCGATGGTCCCCGTGGACGCAGGAGGCCACGGCGGTCCCCACAACCTTCCTTCACCTCCAAGCCTAGGTTTGAGGGGCACGCCTCCTGCCCCGGGTGCCATCGTCACGGGTGAGCTTCCTGTCTCGCGTGCCGACCGCGTCTCCCCTCACCACTGACGGCGGACCCCGCACCCTACCGGCCTGCCTCCCCTGCCTTCTCCCCCTCCTCTTGCCCGCCAACCTCACCCCTGCACAGGTGCGCCCTGAGGCGCTCTGCCTGCCGGCCTGGAGGCGACTCCCTGATTACAGAGCTCGGCCTCCATTCTGGGCGTCCCAGCTCTGGGGCTTGGACACCACATTCTGAATCCGGGCCCCGTGGCTCATCCCCACCGGTGCTCCCCAGTCTTCGGTCCTGGGCCTCTGTCTCCTCCCTGTGAGCCGAGCCTGCTCAGGCCCTTCCCCGGAGCCAGCCTGGGCGTGCCGTGGTGCGGGACACGGGCGGACGAAGGCTCACAGATACCGTCTGCTGACCGTCTGGTGATGATGTCACTGACCACAATTATGGCTAAACATGAGGATTGGGCGTGAATTTTAATTTTTGTCGCTAATTGGGAAGAGCGTGCATCTTTCCAATTAAGTGATTTCCCTCAGACAGACTTGTCCCCAGGGACGTGCGTTTGTAAGGCGATGATCCGGGGCAGACCTGCAGAACAGAGCAAGGCCGTGACTTTGACTTTGTCGGCATCATGCATGAATTAAACACGGAGTCCTGTTCTCCAACATGAGCTTTATTTGGGGATTTAGGTCTTGAAAATGGTCGTTAGGGGCTCCGTGTCCTGGCAGGCTCCACGGGCAGCTCCGGGCCTGTCAGGAATGTGGGGTGGTTTCCAGAACCTGGCTGTGCCAGCCGCAGAGCACCCCTCCCCCCACCGAGCTGGAGAATGCGAGTGTGTGTGCACACACGTGTCCCTCACCCTCTTCCTCAGAGGCTGGCACACTACGCACTACAAACATGTGGGCGTTTTTAGACTTTGTTTGTCCAGGGGAGGGACTTTAAACGCTGAGTTTCCTTCTTGGAGGAATCTGAATTGTGCATCAGCAGAAACTACTCAGATCAAATAAAGCTGTTGTGAGTTCTGCAAGACCTAGAACTGTGGGAGCCACTGGCCGCTGTGTGGCGGGTTGGAAGTACGTTCACGCACGTGCAGCCAAGCAGATCTTCCACGGGCTGTAGAGCCTTTTCTGCACCTGCTGCTGGAAGTTGCTACCTCAAGTGGGCCGTTTGTGTGACTCTTCGTAAGGAACATGAGTCACGTGAAAGGGCACATTGCCTTCGGGGACATAATCAAATGGTAAGATCCTATAGCTTTTTCTTTTTTTTAACGTTTACTTATTTTCAAGAGTGTGAGCAGGAGAGGGGCAGAGAGACAGGGAGACACAGAATCCAAAGCAGGCTCCAGGCTCCGAGCTGTCAGCAGAGCCCGACGTGGGGCTCGAACTCACCGATCGCGAGATCATGACCTGAGCCGAAGTCAGATGCTTAACCGACTGAGCCCCCCAGGCACCCCAGTAAGATCCTAGCAACTGAAGAATGTCTGAGGGTGTGGGGCAAGTGTTTTGTACAAAAGCATCAGTGAGAGGTTTGGACACGCTATAAATCACAGCCAGTTTTCCACGGAGAATCCACGAACTAATTTTACGCTGGCCTCTCAGTGCCCAGACATCATGTGTTGTTTATTCACTGGGTGAGCTGGGCTGGCACGCAGGTTCTTAGTCGAAGATGCAGGCTTTTCCTTCAACCTGCACCTGTTTGAGAGGACGTGGCCGCCTCTGTTTGGCCCTGTTTCTGCTGCAAGAATTAAATGGTGAGGGCAGGTCCGCTGCGGCACCCAGGAGAGGGAGCATCAACCGGAAAGATCCCATTTACTGGAATTTCTGCCCTCACCTCAGTGGGGAGTGGGTGGTTCGAGCTGTGGTCCGAGCCACGGTCTGAGCCGTGGTTTGAGCTGTGGCCGCGTGCTCTTCCCTCACCACAGAGCTTCCGTTTTCGCCCGGAAGGAGATAAAAGTTACCTCTTGGTTTGTCCATTATGACCACAGAGTTAACAGGCTTAAAATGTTTTAAGCTTTTTGGAAGAAAGGTGTTTTGCAAATCCCCAAATAACTACGAGAAGGTGGCGGTGCTGTGGCATTGAGTTCAGGCCCTGCTCCCCGCTGCTCCCACTGCCTCCTGCCTCCCTCCGGCCACGGCCCCTGCAGCTGCTGTGTGTGGCAGAGGTGTCTCCTGGATCCTGTTTGAACGCACCTTCTTTGAGAAGTTGCCGTCTTCTGAGTTGTCTTTTTCCTGTATTTATCTTTGCCTAATGCAGCCTGAATGACAAGTATGAAGAGTGTCACCCTCAATGACACCTTGGAATCCTGAAACCGTTTCTCGTGGAGCCCGTCAGCAGGTGGATGATGGCCGGTAACACACAGGGAGAGCGGCAGAGGAGGCAGACGACGCGGCGTTTCCCTGGTTTCTGTCTGTGAGTTCTGTGAAAGCCGTGTGCCCAGGCCGAGCTCCAGGACCGGCGCCTGCCGACGGGGAGAGGGGCCGTCTCTCCCAGCTGGGGTGCGGGCACTCTGCCCATTGGATCTGAGGTCTTGTAGCCACCGGGTGCCCCCTTTGGTAAAAAATCTACTGCTCCTTCCAGTAGGCATCAGCATGCGTAAGGGCCAGCCCGTAACCCCCAAGTGACAGGTGCCCCCCAAGAAGGACCCTCAACCGTGTCTCACCAGGAACTGAGGTGAGAGCTGTTGCTCCAGTCTGAATTCAAACAGGTTCCCCTTGGGAGAAGACTGCTCACCTGGGGCTGCTCAGCAAGGCCCCCTGTCTGCAGACCAGTCCCCTCACATGCGACTTCAAATCGCAGGAAAGACTTGCCCTGAGAGGAAGCATCTCGAGGGAGCACATCGGGGTCTGCGCCGGACAGGAGGGGCTGGTCAGTTGGGGGAGCGGGGGGGTGGCGCTGGAGGCCATGTGGGCTGAGGGTTCAGCGTGTGTGCCTGGGGGCCGCTGCGGGGCACCTGGAGCGTGGCCCTGGATCCTGGCACTTCCCAGGCTGTACCCACCTGGTCCCAGGAGCCGCCCAGCTCAGCCTCCAAGGTTCAGTTAACACACACAGTCAGGTGAATCGTCCACCTGCTTGCGGGACGTGTGTGTGTGTGTGGGGGGGGGGGTGGGGGGTGGCCCCCAATGGGGGCCCTGCGCTGGGGCCCAGGTGGAAAATATGTAGCTGGAGAAAGTTTCAGATCCAGGCTGAGTCCCAGGCTCAGTCTCCACCCCGTCTGAACAGTGCAGGTGAAGGTGCGTGCCTGGCCATGAGGCTCTGGAAGCAGGGCTGAGGTCCAGCGAGGACAGAGAGCGGCCTGAGCCGGGCAGACAGGTGCCCAGCGTTTCCTCAGGGCCTTCGCTCTTAGAAAAGATTGGGGGGGGGGCCTCTACCGGTTCCGTCGGGCCTCCCGTGGCCTCCGCACATTCCATTCCATATCGGACGTGGGCAGGGACTTGTGTGGGCAGGAGAGGGCCACCCAGAGTGGTGCAGGGAGCTGCCGCCAGGCTGGGGGAGCAGGCCAGGCCGCCAGCAGCCTTTCCTCAAGGATCTGGAAATCTGGGTTTCAGTGTGAGACCTCCTGATTTTAACATAAACATGGTTTTTTTTTTTTTTTTTTTTTTTTTAAGAGAAACGGAGACCAAATAGAACACATCTACAGGCCGGATTAGGGTCATTGGCCCAAATTTGCAACTGCCCTTACCTGCCTCCCTCTGTCCTCTTTATGAATTCAGCATTCACTGTGCACCACACACTGTTGGTGGCTCTTGGAATAAGTCTGGGGACAGGTGGCAAGGGGCTCTGCTCCCTCGGGCCTCCCAAACGGTAAAGGGCAACCTCAGCCCCTGTAAGTGCTGTGAGTACAAGGGGAGGGGAGCCTGAGGTGGGGGTGGGTGGCCCTCAGAGAGAGGAGACAGGAAGGGAGGCAATGCTGGGCCGCCGGGCCTGCTGCAGGTGGGTGGGGGCAGGGAGGCTGCCTTCGGGGACCAGGTGCCCCTGGGAGTGGCCCAGTTAGTCCCGCCTTCCAGGCCCTGGGGGCTCCAGAAGGGGGGTGGGGGTGGGGTGCAGTGCAGGGGGCGAAAGGGGGGACAAGGCTCTGCTAACAAAGGTGGGCGTGCTTGATCGATGGATTGATTGACCCTGTGGCGCAGGCAGATCCCGGGTGCACCCTGGAGCTGGTGGAATCTGCCTGGGGATTGGGGAGACTAGGACCAAGGGTTAAACCCTGTTGGTGGGGCTGTTTACACAGGAGCACGGGGTGGGGGTGGGGGGCAGGCAGCAGGCGGTGGGGCCCCCTGGCCAAGATGCCTGGTGGGGGCAACGACCTCGAGGAGGCCCCTCGCAGGGAGAGCATGCAATGGGACAGGAGGGGAGGGTGTCTCGAAGGGGCCGGCACATGGGGCGCAGGGCAGTGACCTCGGCCTCGCCTGCGGGGCGGGGGTGAGCACTTAGCCCCCATTCACAGCCCCCATGGCTCTCTCCCACATGTAATTCAAGTGCAAAGTGTGTTTTGGAACAAGACATACCTTTAACTATGAAAAAAGTTTAAAAAAGTCCTCCTAGGTCTTCCGATTACAAAATTCTTGGTAAGTTTGTCCAAGCCGAACTTTTCTTCATCTTTTTATGATATTGGTTTTTTGATATACCTGCTCTGCTGGTGTCTGAGCACACACTGGTATGCTTGCTGGGCTGCTGGGCTCCACTGGTTTCAGCACTGCTAGGGGTCTGGGGGGGGGGGGGGGGGGGGGGGGGGGGGGGGGGGGGGGGGGGGG